ACCCGTTTTCCCTTTCCTCTCCCTCTCCCCTCCTCTCTCTCTCGCTTCACTGGCAGAAGATCGCCGCGGGGAGATTCAAAAGGGGATTTAATCCTGAACCGAGAGAAACACTTAACAGATTCGCTCGTGTTTATGTGATACGTGTCTGACATATGCTTGCCATTTAACACACGAGATGCGTATGTATGTAGAAAGATTATTGTACTTTGTCAAAGTTTATCTTCCACGATAGCGAACGTGTTAAACGGAAACGCGTGCTCTCTGAGATTGCTCGAGATTTTGTTGCTCTTTGAAAGATATGATGCAAAGAGGTAAACTTAATAAAAATAATTTTTTAATAATATATACAAAAGATAATAGTGCATTCATAAAGATTACTGCGTACTCAAAGAATCTGTTAATTGACTGAATCTCAGAGGCCACCATTTCGATTTAATATTGTAGAATATTATAGTAGCGAATCTCAATTTCATAAAACTGCGATACTCGCAATATGAAGACTAAGAAACATTATTTCTTCAGCTATTTATTTAATTTGATGACTCATTATATTGTTTCCGAATAAAAAAAGTTACTTTTTATGTATTACTTATTAAATAAATTTTTGAACCTTTAAAAAGATCTAATTTGTAATATTTATAAATCATTCACTTCAAATAAATCATTTATTATTGCTTACAAAAAACAATAGCTAATAATTTTTGTCTACATATTCATATAATTATCGAATATGTTTTATGAAAAAGAGTTCAATTGCAGAAAAATCGACGACACGATAAAAAAGCTTAGTGTTATGCAAAATCAGCTGACGCGCGAAACTATGCATTTCAGAGTGACATGTGCTGATCGAAAAGCTGATCGTTTCTGGGAAACTTTATCTGGAACTCGTATCTTCTATTCCATTAAGCGAATTTGTAAGTACACGATAATGCTCTTATCCTGATTCATTCGATAATGGAAAAATGCGGTTGACTGTGATTCTATGATTAAAATAAAAAAAAAATAGCAAATTTATTTCGAATTTTTAAGTGTTACTCATTTTTGGAACAATTATAAATTCTTGACGATTATATCGCAGAGAACAGAGGGTCAAAAATCTGGATCACATTCCATACGCGCGCGTCACTAAAATCGTTGCTTACTTCGGCAAAATTTGCGGGAAAAGAAAGAGAAGCCTTTCGATCAGAGGCGTCAGTGAAACATGTCGAAAATCGATATCCGAGTGCGGTTTTATTTATCATTATGAAACGCAGAGCGGTGCTCTGTAACAGGAGAGCCGAGAGCTCATCTTACACGCCGCGAGAATCACAGGACGACAGTGTTCTCGTTTCGACTTTGTATCTGACAAACGAACAGACCGGTATTTCTCGAGATCAATCGGCAAAGAAAAGAGCAAATTTAAATATGAGGGTTGTGAACCAATTCTTAGCTCTTGAGTTTAAAATCAAGCGTTGTTTCTTGTCTGAATGCGTAAGATATTTTGCTCATCAATTTATATTATCATAAAATATTTCAGAAAATTCAATATTTCATATAAATTAATAAAAATTTATGTAATATTATCTACTGTTAATTAACAAATGTATTATTAATGAGTTAAATATTATGGACAACGATGCGTCTCATTGATTTACATATAAAATGCAACCAGTATTAAGAAGCTACACTTTTATTAGAAAGACTAATTATATAATATAATAAAAAATAAATATGCGTGTCGACAACTGCAATTATTAATCGTGTAATTGAACGCACGTTTCTCTCATCAATAAATCAGATTAATTCCAAACAATATATTCTGCATTTCATACGGAATAAAATCTTAAATCAATATTGACAAACAATCTCAATGTTCTTAATTCAATATTGAAGAAAAATAAGGAGTGTGATTTCACTTGTACACACCTCATATTTAAATTTTTACGGCTCGAATGCTCGCGGTGTGTCTACGGTTGTTTACGATTTGCAATTGCTCATACACAGCTGTCTGAGTTTCGACTCGATGTATGACTCCGATATCAGGAATGCATCGGAGTAAAAGTAATTACGTGTAAATAGAACTCCACGAAAAGTAGCTCCTTTCGCTTCCGTTTAAACTTTGCATACCGGTTGCAATCGAAATCAAGAGAAACGCTTCGTAAATGCGAAACAAGGGATCCGACAGCTGTCTGTAAGCTAAATTTTTTGACGCTAACTCTGATTGACAAAGTTAACTTGAGGTCAAATAATTAATTTAGAAAAAGAGAAATTTTTTTCCTCTGTTAATCAACAATAAAACTTCAATTTAGAAACACAAAGCAATTAAATATATAATTATTTCATTGAAGCTGTTGGCGTAACAGAAGCTAAGTTTTCTATCTTGTAAAAAGGATTAAAACCGGCATTATTTCGACGAATGCAATTTGCATAAAACTATGGAAGAAAAACACTCCGCGCCGCGTTTCCATTGTCACGGAACATAGAAACCCTCCTCGTATCCGCTGTATCGTCGACTCGCCGAAATTACACCGGTTTTCATCCTTATCCAACAATAAGAAGCAATACTTCAGACCAGAGTTATAGAGGTTACGCGTCCGTTCAAAAGCTTCTAGTGCGAATATTAATAATGGAGCTTTGCGACGACCAAAGTAATATCGAGAACGAACGTTTTGCTATCCGGGCTCTTTCAAGAGCAAATCCCGACGTTCGTCGCATCGATATAACTCAATGTCTGAACGAGAAAACCATCGACCGTCCTGCGTGTACTCGACGCGTCTAGCTTGGTCGAAAATCGAGATATCGCAGCACGCGTACTAACCGTTCTTCGTCCACGCTGTCAACGCTCGCTGCGTAGGTGGTGCACGCGAGATACGAGGGTTGTTCTCACACAAAAGATAGACAGAGGGATAAAGGGAGAATGACGGGAGTATGCGCGCGCGCCCGAGAGCGAAAGGGACAGCGAGAAAGAAAGGGAGACACGAAACGCGCGTCGCACTGCGTGGGTTCCGCGAGAGCCGGGAGCCGGTGATGCCGATGATTCACGCTGTTGACGAGCCGGCCGTGCGTGGCCGCGTTTTCACTCTCACTCGGCCGTTCATCGCGCGAAATTCCGCTCGCGCAGAATAATGGAAAAAAAGGAGAAAACGCGGTGCACAAACGCATACACACCACACAAAACGAAACGCCACAGATCACACTAGCGCGTTCTCGAGATGGTCATGAAGAACACACGATGTAACCACCGCGCTCGACTCAAATGTACTGCGACGACCACGCCTGACGCAGCTGCCACGAACACGAGAGGGCAGCAGGAGAGAGAAATAGAAAGAGAGAAAGATAGAGAAAAAGAGACAGACTCAATTCGCCGCGCAAACGATAGCCAATCGCGACCGCCAGCCACGACGACGCAAACGCCGCCAGAGAAACGTGCGGATCAATCGGCGTACCTATTACGACGGCGGCAGGTAAGCAAAGACTTGACCGTCGATATTACAGCGTAAAATAGCCGCTATCATTGGCCCTTTACAAGGGCTTTGAACGAGTGAACACTTTTGCTTTCGTTTGCTGCGACTTTCGTCGCGCAGTGGTGTGTAAATATCATTTCGCGGATGAACGCTTTTGTTCTTACATAGGTTTTAAAAAATAGTGAACTAGTAAATAGTGAATAAAAGAGGTAGTAAAATATATGTCTTTTTGTAACAATTTAACGAAATAAATGACTTCAATATTTATTTTTCTCGAATTTGTCACTTTGACAATAAATAACTGGCAGCTCTTTATTAATTCTACTGATACGTAAGTTAAAGAAAATTGACGCAATATTTAAAAAATTATAATAATTGAATCATTCATTCTAGAGAATAAGTTATCATTGAATTTTCACAGGAAATTTAATATTGTATAATTATCGAAGATGCAAAATTCACGCAACGCAATCATCTTGAAAAAAAATTGCAGAAATTATTCATTTCATTAACATTGAGTATTGCGTAATTAACAGTTAAAATTACTGATGAAACGCAAATAAAGATTAATACTTGATGTATGACATTTGTTTCGAAAGATCATAAAAGACTATCGTCATTTGAGATTTTCAAATCACAATAGTAATATGATTGAGAAAAGTTATAACAGAATAAAATTGTGTAATAAGAGATTCTGACAGAGAAATGAAGTTCATGAAAAGTAGTTTGCAAATTGCAATAATATTAATTGTCACTAATCAAATACGTGCAGAAATAAAAAGTTTAATCATATTTCTGTAGAGCTTATTCCTTATAATTTGTTTCGGTTATCCTATTTAATCCTATTTAGATGAGATTCTTAAATTCTTCAACAGATCAATTAATTAATTGATTAATAGATATATGTAAGTTATTATCATTATATATATATATATGTTTTCTATCTTAAGTGCTTTCGACAATTGAACGATTAATATCGCAATTCCGTGGCTAACCGCAATTTTTTGCGACTGAAAAGTAAACTCGGAAAGATTGTAAAGTAAAAAGTCGATCTTATCAGACATTCTCAGAGTCAACGAATACACTACGATAATCGCGTGTCATAAGCGCCCCGGATGACGACGACGGATATTTTAAACAAGACGATTGGCTCTAAGTGATTCGAGCACGCACGCATACTAGACGATCTTGATTCTGCGATGTCAACGTTCGCGCGATTGCATTGTCTACCCGATCGTCGCGCTTGTTATTCTAGCGCGTCCACTAGGAAGTACGCACAACGGAATACTCGGAATGTCGTTGAGGCCTTAATTGGCCATCGAGCTAATAAGAGCACCGAACCGTCGACTGTGCGTGCTTGCGTGCATGCGTGCATACGTATGTATGTATGTATGTACGTGCAAAGAAACGAGAAAAAAAGGACTTCTCATATGGAATGCAGTTCACGACAATGCATCGTCGTTCGTGACCATCGAATCAGATAGGAACTTCGATTTCTTCGAAATAACTCTTTCATATTTTGCGAATCGCGTGATGTTTAGTATTAATTCAGTGTTACGCCCGGTATTAATTACATATCGATTAATTTGATACTATAAGGCATATATCTATGCATTGCACAGATAGATAAAAAGTTTAAAATGTTTTATTTTACTTTCTATATCAATAATTCCGTTTGGTTTGCGGCTAAAAAAGTTTTACAATTTTTTATTGATTAATAGAGATTCCAAAGTCATGTGTTAGAACTACACAGAAAGAAGACTTTTGTTGAAAGATCTGATAATTGTGCCAGATACAGATCTGAAGATAAATTTTGTTCGACAATCAAATATTTATCAATAGAACACTCGATCTTTTTCATATCTCAACAAAAAGTTTTGACAATCCATACACCCAAATTGAGTGCTCTAAATGCTTGATAAATTTTAAATGTCCAACAAAATTTATTTTCAGATCTTTCAGCAAAAGTATTCTTTCCGTGTACATACATACAAAATCGCAACTTCGCTTTTCTAAATATAATTTATGCAATATCTTCGCTGTTTTAACAAATTTCAAAGCAAGAAATTATTCGATTATTTATAATATCCATATAATTGACAAAAAAATTATTATCATAATCATATTATATTATGCCATATATTTAGATAAAAATAAATTGTTCAATTGCAAAAAGCTCCAACTAACAGAGAAACGAAGTTGTAGGCATTAATAACTGGTAAAAATCTGTTATAAAATCGTTATCGAAAGACACTAATGATCTACCTGTTGAGAGTCCTTGTTTTTTTGACAATTATATCTGGCAAGCATAGCCGGATTTAATCGACGTCTCGCCGTCGCCGTCGGTGCTTCCGTCATCGCGGCTTGTTTATTTGATTTTTGCGTCAAACTGCAATTCGCTGATCCACGAAAAACGTCTCACTTTTACGAGTTTCACTAATTGTCGCGCAAATAACTCGATATTGGCGTAGATACGAAACATTCACGCAAAATATTGCGATTGTTCGATCGTGAAACGCAATCACAAACGGACTCAAGAATGCGAATATTGCTGCGATTTTCTCACCAGTCAGTCGTTCTTAATCGTTACTACGTATGATAGTGAAACGGGATTTACTGATAAAAACTGACTGGACTGGAAGAATTTTTATCTGTTCGCAGTATTAAATCGACACAGTGGTTTGAAACCGGAACGACCGCGGTTTGGAGACAGAACGATAAATTTTATAAACTAGCGTTCGGAGAGATATCAGAACTTCGCAAATAAATCTTATTCTAACATTCTCTATTTTAGAAACTTCATAAATTTCCTCAAACGTGCCACCATTTATTACTATTTATTTAATTAATAAACTTATCGATGCAATTTATTATTGTGCATTGAGTTTAATAATTAATTAATTAATTACTTATTTGGAACAATCTAATTTTACTAAAAAACTTATGCTTTCAATATATATTTGCTTCAGCTTCAAAATTCAGAAAAATATCAATCCAAATAATAACAATAATATAAAATAATGGTAATAAAAAAGGCTAATGAAAGACTAGAGTTCGCAATATAAATATTTTGCAAAATACACAATAGTGTTTTATCTCATAGAAATACGTGGCTTAAAAATGAGATATCTAATATCATCTAATATCAAGAGTAAAATATTTCTGATATAAAATATGAATCATATTCACAGACGCGATCCTTATATTATTTTTAATGATTTAATGATTTAATCAATTAAAAAAATTTTTATTATTAATTAAACAAAAATGTTGTATATATGATAAAATCTTGTATATGTTAATGTCAAATATTTTTGACAAATATACGGTTAATGCTGTACTTTGCGCCTTCGTGGAGTGAAAACTCACTAAAGAATCAATGAAAATATTTTTTTTTGCATTAACACTTCACAAACCAAACTTACAGGTCGTCGTATTTATTATATATTACGAACGCGAAGCCGATTTTCACGTACGATTCGAACGACGATCGGAATGCGACTAGCCTTATCAGAGAGAGACTCACCGCTGCCGTGGTGTCCGAAGTGACCGTGACGGTGATGACGTTATCGTCGTCGTTGTCGTCGTCGTCATCGTAATTGCCATCATCATCATCAGCGCCCATGCGGTCGTCCAGCATCCGTATTGAACCGGAAACAAACCAGAAAAGTGGGTGGGAGGTAAAACAGGGAAAAAGACAAGGATAGCACCGCGATAAGAGCAAGGACGATAAGGAATAAGAATCATCCGGGACACAAAGGAACAGGAAAACAAATATTACGTTAACTATGTTTCTATAAACTCCTAAAGTTTTACATATGTACACATAACATACTTTTTTTATTAAGTCTGTTCACTATTGTATGATTCATTTATTCCAATAACATATTTTTAATGTATTAATAAACTTAGAATATATAATAATCGTCTAGTTACTGTGTATATGCATTTCTAGCAATCATTTCTTTTTTATCGTGACTAATCGTTAACCTTTATAGCAATAAAGTTTATTTAAAATAAAACAATTCTTACAATTGCGGTAAAAGAATTTTCCTCAAAAATTTTAAATTCAATACTGTTTAGAATAAAATCGAATAATTTCTTTTATTCAAAAACCTAGCATAAACTATGCCAAAAAATTCTCTTCCATGATATTTAAAATATAATATCTTTATATTATATTCGAGTTAAAATTTTTTTATTAATTATGCATAAAGAAGTGTGCTTCTTACTTGCATCGGGCAGAACGATTGTGGAAGTCTCCATCCTGATTGTCTGATATCTCCGTCTTATTGTCAGATTCTTTCGCGGCGAATCGCGCGAGTAACTACACGCGTCACTATAGCAACGAAGGGTGCCATCGACAAAAATAGATTTTCCGAAAAGCACGGATTCTCGGGGTTGAATTTAAAGTACGCGATGAAGCTAGGCGTGTCAGAAGTACCGATACCGTAGCAATACAAATTGCACGATTTAAATATCATACGAACAGAAGGATTTTAAGCGTAATTTTGAAAAAATTATTAGACTACAGAAAGTGTTTAAAGAAAAAAAATCTATCATTTTGCCAATATTGTAAATTTGGAAATTAAAATATTGACTAACTCATCGATACAAGATGATGAAAGCTCCGTGAATCTAAGACTCTACATATGTAAGAAATGACGACTCTATTAATTTGTCTCAACTTGGAATCCAAGTAATTTTTGCGTAGATCATCGCAAAAAAATGCGGAGATGATCTCGCAGATAACCGCAACACTCACGATAAATTTCGCCGATTATTCCATCAATCGTCACATTTCTCGTAATAACATGACGCAATATAAAATAAAGATAGAAATATCTCCGGTCTAAGGCGAAGGAGAACGAGATATGTGAACAATTGCGTGTTCGCGTGTCGGATACGCAATTCGTACTAAAGGCACGTCGTCGACTCGTACGATTCGCGATCGTCCGAAGCACTCTCACGTGCGACGAAGAAGTGCTCTTACTATCTTTGCCCATTGCTTTTCCTTCCACTATCGCTCTCCTACTTTCCTTCTCTCATATTCCCCCTACTTCTTTAGTCGATTAAGGAAATTGATTATTTAACCCTGCAATTCCTCGGGTCTATCTCACACAATCACTTTTATTCTAAGATGTGATACATTTATCAATATTAACCTTGTAACTTTAAAATTTTATACCACCAAAATATTGTTTTGAAACATGTGTTCATAAAATACAAACAAAAGAAAGAAAATTAAATACATTTTTAAATTAATTTTACCAATATTTAATTAATATTACATTAATTTTATGATTGTAATACACAGCTGCAATAGTTATGTTATAAGCCATGTATTACAAACATTCAGTATGAAAGAAAAAAGGAAAATAGTTAAATGTTTCAAGTGTTTTGATGTCACATTTTTTTTTTCTCTCACAATCTGTTGAAAACAGGCGACCGTGAAAATAGCGGCGTTATCTATGTCGACAACAGTGTAACGACAATACAATCTTATCTTCGTATAAAACTAATCAGATGTTTCATATTTAAATAGTATGCTAATAACTATTACGAACATAAACCAGCAAGGCTTAATAATGTGAGGAAATTTAAAAAAATCATCGATCTCACAATAATGCAATAGAACAATAAATATTTAGAAGAACAATCTGATTCATTATTTAAAAATCATATTTTGATATAATTTGTGTTGCTAACATCACACAATGCGGTTTGCTTTTAAACTCTGAAAATTAATTATCAAAATTTTCAAATTCTTAATATGATATTCATAGTTGATTCCGAATTAAAATACTAATTTATATACTTTTATATTTTTCGAAATGTTAAATTTTAGATTCATGATTTTTTATTCTGTGCAATTTTATTATATATAAAATAATCGAAAAATTATGTAAAATGCAGAAAATTATTTATAGGCATTTTTATGCAAAATCTGTGATAGAAAATGTGTTTGTTAAGAATAGTATTGAAAATAATTACTAATAATATATAGACATACAAGTGAATCAAACTGTGCTCCAAAAAGACATTTTTTTAAATCATTTATATATTACTGAAGAAATATGTGACTCACAAAAAATGAACTTTACCGTATGAATGTAAAAGTACGTCAATTAGATCTCTCACAGGCAGTTACACCAATTAACAAGAGAATAGAAACTTGATCTCTCTCTTCTCGAATATTTCAGTCAGAAACATGATCGTAGAAAGAGACACAGACTCGGTGACCGCATTAGATTAACAGTGCGAATTAACCGATCTTTTTTCTTAATTACTGGAGTCAGAGTTATTATGTCGAACGAAGATGAAAAAGTACGTCGAGATCTAATTATCGAGACTGTTGGTGCGCGACGAAGGGGCCAAATCGGTGGGGTAGATAGAGTAGGTAGATGGGGTAGGGTGAGTAGGTTAGGTTGGCCGCGGCGTATCGACCGGCCCCGTATTGACGAGGAAATTCGGCAGTTCCAAAATGGTCGCGCAGTCTTTCGGGCGTCGGCAGGTGCCAAGAACCGTGCCGTGATACGCGCGCTTTCGCTCGTGATGCTTCACTTACCACTTCGCTGCATCGTCGTTGCACCGGGACGTCACAGCGTTTACTCATCGATCATAATCCTCTGCTTGTCGGCGACGAAAGTAAACGGTTATCGGGATGCTTCTTCGCATACCACTCGCGAGACACATGCGACAAGACGGAGACGAGCCGCGGAAGCGCGATCGGGAAAATGCGAGTACACGGACGCGACGCACACGATCTGACCGAACTTTTCAAATATTCGTAGCAGCCTCAACAACGATTAAAGTGCCGCCAACGCTTGCGCATAAACACGACGCCCGACTGGTTGGCTGCAGTGAGAGAAATCGTCCCAACATTCGTCATGATGCACTCACCGATTCCTGCCGAGAAACGCTGCAAGCTCGTAGAGAACTAGCCAAACATCTAGTTTTCGATAGTCGGTAAATAATTAACCATTAAGGCTGCGTTCGCTTTGGACGCTCACGCGCTGAAAGCATCAGTCTATCTTTCTTGCTCATTATACGTCGAAGAAAAATAAAATGACGTTTACGTCCTGAAAGCGTTATTCTATCTTTCTTTGACGCACTAGCGGATCCTAATATCGATAATGGGGGAGGATTTCAACCTGCTTTAACGTTTAATGCATTTTTTATCAAGATTTTTGAAACAGCAACATTGATTTTTTTTAACTTGGAAGAGAGGGGGTTTACCCCCCCCCCCCCCAGGATCCGCCCGTGCTTCGACGTATAATGAGCGAGAAAGAAAGACTAATGCTTTCAGCGCATGAGCGTCCAAAGCACGGACTAAGGAATAGAGGGACTGAGTCTAAAGTCCTAGTTTAGGCGAGAGGGGATGGTAATTCAAGC